ACACACACACACACACACACACACACACACACACACACACACACACAAACGGACGCGCGCACACAATCTTGAGGCTGCTCTAAACTACACTAAGACCCAACCAGAGCAGAACTGATCCCACCACTGGGAACCACAAATGGCTCCTCTGCAGCCCCTTTTGTAAGCTACACCCCACACCCCTTGGCTGTAGCTGAGAATATGGTCCTATATGTTAATCTTAGTTAAAAATAAGTTGAAATTTCCATGCCTATGATGTCTGGGGGCTTACTAATAGAACCATTTAAATAATCTGAAGAGAAATCTTACATACAATTTGCCATCCTGGATGTATAAAACAGTTAAAGAATTTCAGACAGTTTCCCTGCATAAGTTTGGTGAAAACTGTCTTTAATCTATGGAGACAAGTTTCAGATAAACCCTTCCTTCCTTCACATTAAGAAGTCACTAACAAATATCAGCAACATCATGTCATTAAGATTAAATTTAAACATGTTTCAGAAAAAAAAAGTTTCACTTTTTCAATCCTGCATTGCGACTGCATGGGCAGATTACTGTGCCTGCACAAAATTCTACTAAGTCAATGGAACTCCAATGGGCAGTTTACATGTGAATCACAATGCAGGATCAGGGCCTAAAGTAAGTAAAAATAAAATAAAATAAAATAAAATAAAAAAAGCAATTATACTATGCTACAGATTAAATATTTGCCAAAGTACTCTCAAATTCACCACAACTATGAAACCAAATAGTGAAACCCCAAACTTGGACCACTATGGGATTTGCTCTATTCAGAACTGGGTAAGTGCCAAAAAAGCATTGCTAGACATAGACCATTGTTAAGTAGTGTCTCAGAAACAACGAGGTCTACAAATGAATGATTTATAATAATTGAAACCTGAGAATCTCAGCTTTCAAACAGTATTAAGCACTCATTTCTAGCAATGACATGTTATGAAATGCAATAAGACCATCACTCAATTACTATCTTGCTTTATTTTCTCCTCATCTGAATTCTGACATGATTTTGGTAGCTGCTACCTTTAGTATTGCAGGAAATCAATGAACCGTCTGAAAACTTGAAAGCTAAGATTTCAAATGGTAACAGACAAATTCATTCTAGTGGCCGAAGACTATGTGCTGCTAAAATCATGTAACAAAGACTGCTCTAGAAAATGAATCAATTGTAGGACTAGTAAATATTTATGTGACTTGTAATGTTTTCAACTTTTTCCAAACACTGGATCTAGGTCTGCAATAAGTAATAAAAAAGTCTATCCCTGGTAAACATTAAAGAAAATCTTGTTTAAGAAACAGATTTTTCTTATTTTGAGCAATTTCATCACTCAGATACTTTCCCCCCTCATTTTGTTATTCCTTCTTTAATTTTAATCTAGTTAGAAGGTCTCAATGCATTTTGTTGACACTCCATAGTTACAAAAAAATACAGAATGCAAAATCCAAATACAAGACTAATCTGGAGTTAAATAACCTTGCATCAATTTTTGAAACCAAAAGCTTTAAAAGCTGTAAATTTCAGAACAATTTCACACCATTCTTAGTGTTTGTACCACAGACAAATCAAATGTTAAAGTAAACTCTCCGCGTGCTACAAGGTGTACAAATGATATAACAATTGCTATATTATTTCATGCACCACAAATATTTATCCTCTGAGGAACTATCGAGACAAAATTCTAATCACAGTAGTATTCAACTCTGAAACACGGCTTTATAGCTAAAGGTAATAAATGTAAATATGCTAAATTCTGTCTCACGCTACTTGAGTCACCTCTGAATTATTCCAGATACAGTTTCTGTAAGCTTTACATACAGATTATAAATAAAAAGCATCTAGCATTTCACAAAATATTCTCGAATTAAAATAGCCTAGAGATGCAATATTGCTCACTATTATTTTAGCCCCTAAAAGGAGTCAAAGTTAATTCTAACAGGTACAGTAATAGCGCATACTACATTCAAAGGTTATTTTTTTTAAGTATATTTATGATAAAAGACATCTTGATTGGCTGAATTAGAATTCCCAGCGTCATTTCCACCTCTGAGATGGACTGAATGTATTTACAAACAAGGGCAGTGGCACCTCACATAAGCCATTGTTCTTTTTCCTTACTGTATTTCTCAGACCACTTGCGAGTGAGCTCCAGATACATAGTTGGTTTATGAGGCTTGTAATCCAGGTAAGTTACCTGTCCAGTTTTCTTAGGAACAGCTTTTTCAATCTGAGTCCCTTCATGCCATTCATTGAAAGAAGTGATGGAAATAATTTCTGGTCGCACCAAAAGTGCTGCACTGAAGGCAGTCTCATAATACTTCCCATTAACACGGTTGCGGGTGTTGTGGTTATTCCATGGTCGGATGCTGGTGTCAATGTATCCTGGTCCCACACTTGGAATGAACATTAAGTTGCTGCTGTCACAAAAGGCTTTTAGACTTGGCCAATTGTGATGAGATGAGCCATAAGAAAAACCATTGGTGGCAAAGTATGTATAAATTCCATCAAAACCACTTCTGTGGATTTCATGTTTATGTTTTTCTTCCACTAGAAGTGCAATGAATAATCCATCATATGGTGTATTGCGAATGCTCTGGGATCCAGAAACAGTTAATAGATTTGCCCATATTTCAGGGATTGTTACATAAGAATCATAAACATAAAACATGGGGAGGGTTCTGCCTGTGCTGGTCTTATGCCTGTAAAAAGCTGGATGGCCTCCATATCTATAAAGCAAACAATATGGTAAACATTCATAATAATATGCCAGTTGGGAAAGAATCTTTCACATACTGAACCGAAGAATTTTTTATGAATTTTAAAACTTTATGTTCAAGATGAATTTAATTCAGTAATGTGGCCATTCAAATATATATTTTAACCATACATATGCTGGAAATTTATGTACTATTACAGCAAGGAGATAATAATCTACTGCATAACTTAATTATTAGTGTCAAGTCCTACAAGTAGCTATCACTTTCCTTTCAAAGGCAAAACATTAATTCACTGAATTGTTATGGAAGATACTCTAAGTGGCAGCAATAAAACAAAAACTAGTAGCTGTTCATAACTTCTCTGACTCTCAGGCTGGATTGAATTTAAGGATATTATGGGTTAGCCCATTAGAAGTTTAGCTGGCAACCTGTCAGCCTACAAAGTTTTTTGTTTTAAATAAAAAAAAATACAAGTGTCTAAGAGCTTAAATAAAAGCAGTTAGAAATGTCAGTCTAAGGTGTCATGAAGCATGTGATAAAAATTGGTTACTAACCTGGTTCCATAACTGTTGGTCTTTGAGATGTGTTGCACACGTCCATTCCACTCTTGGCATTGGTGTGCCCAGCGCACAGCAATCAGAAACTTTTCCCCTCAGTGGCACCCGTTGGGGTGGCTCAAGTTCCATCTGCTGCTACACACCACTGCACACAGGTATGAAGGGAAGAGTCGTCTCTAGCCTCCCTCAGTTCCTTCTTGCCATAACTCTGATGAAGAGGGGTAGGAGGGCGGAGTATGGAATGGTCGTATGCAACACATCTCAAAGAATGACAGTTATGGAACAAGTTAGTAACAGTTTTTCTTCGAGTGACTGCACATGTGCATTCTGCTCTTGGTGACTCACAAACTGTAAGACAGGAGGCGGGATCAGAGTCTATTTCAATAAAGATTGGAGAGCAACTCATCCCACTCTCGCATCATCTCTGGAGTCTTGAACCACAGTACAGTGGGAAGCAAGCGTGTGGACTGAGGAGCAGGCTGACACTCTACAAATGTCTGCAATTGGAACTTGTGCCAGAAAATCTGCCGAGGCTGACTGTGACCTCATCAAATGAGCTGTGACTCTGTCAGGTGGAGCGACATTAGCCAAGTCATAGTTCATGCATATGTAATCCAGGAAGACGTTTTCTGGATGGAGGACAATGACTGACCTCTTACTCTGTCTGCCACTGCTACAAACAACTGGAAAGATTTACAAAAGTAACTGGTTCTGTCTTGGTGAAAGGACAAGCCTTTTCTGACAGTCAGGGCCGGCTCCAGGGTTTTTGCCGCCCCAAGTGGCGGGGGGGGAAAAAAAAAAGCCGCGATCGGCGGCAATTTGGCGATAGCTCCACCGTGCTGCTTTCTTCTTCGGCGGCACATCCTTCCCTCCGAGAGGGACCAAGGGACCCGCCGCCGAAGTGCCCGACGTGCCGCCCCTTCCCCTTGGCCGCCCCAAGTACCTGCTTGCTGAGCTGGTGCCTGGAGCCGGCCCTGCTGACAGCCAAGGTATGCAAAAACTCTTCCTCCCTGGTTATATATGTTTTTGGGTAGAACACAAGCAAAAAAATTGGCCAGTTGATGTGGAAAGAGGAAACCACCTGTGGGATGAACTTTGGATGGATGAGGACGCAAGTAAACCTTGTCCTTAAAAAAGATTGTATATAAAGGCCTTGATATTACTGCCCATACCTCCCCTACTCTTCTAGCCAAGATAATGGCCACCACAGATGCTACCTTCATTGACAGATGCAGCAGCGAGCAGGTAGCCAATGATTCAGATGGGGGGAGGGGCGCACGTAAGTTTAGATCCTCTGGGGGAAACAGGGTCTTGCACTTTGATTAGGGCCATTTCACTGGAGAAAATAGAGCAATTATCCACTTCAGGAATGGTGAAACAACAGCCAGATGTACTTTGATGGAACTGCCAAATCTTGGTGTAAGTAGTCCAGAATATGTTGAACTGAAGCTGGTCAGTGATACCCCATACTGGTGAGACCAGATAGTGAAATCCTGCAACTTAACAAGGTAAATAGCTCTTGTAGAAGGCATTCTACTATTTAGCAGGACCACATGAATATCTCTCAAGCAAGCCTGCTCTCTAGCATTTACCTTATGGAGCCTCCATGCAGTTAAGTGAAGGGACTGTAGGCTCAGGTTGAGTAGGCACCCGTGATCCTAGGAGATTAGATCCGAGTCTAATGAAAGTGAAACTGGAGGTTTCATTGACAGCACCATGAGAGTGGAGAACCAGTGCTGATGGATCCATGCTGGGGCTGTAAGCAAGACTCTGGCCTGGTCCTGTCTTATCTTTTGCAATACTCTATGAAGGAGTGGGACTGGTAGGAAAGCACAGAGGAGCTTGCTTGCCTATGTCAGTAAAAGGACATCTGTTATGAAACCTACAAGTGAAATTAATTCACGCAGCAACTTATAAGCATTCCATAAAGTCTGGACACTAAACACATACTTATAAGTCTAATATCTATCTTGAACAATACTAACATACAGGTGAGCTGGTCTGGTTTCCAGCTATGAATTTGTTAGTGCTCAGCTGACGCCTACAGCCTTGGCAAGAGCTGGCACTTGGTCTGCCAGCGCATAGAGAGTATATCACACTTCCACAGTGCTCAAGACCCACTCCAAAGTAATCTGGGACAAAGCACAGCCAAAGTGGGAAAGATGGTTTGCAAAGGAGGTTCAGGTCTGGAGAGATAGAGACTAGTATGTTAACCTTGACTGGCCCATTAAAAATGCCTGCTTTGTGGTTCCTGTGTGTCTTGAGGGGCCCAGAGCTGGAGCCAACAGAGCAGGAGGTGGAGACCTACACATATAACCCCTGAAATTCTTTTTGATATGTCCTGTCGAGGAGAGGAACAGTGTGTCTGCTGCGGCCAACCGTGCTTCCTGACCGGGGCAGATGTGCACAACCAAAGGACTTCAGGATTGCTCTAGAGTCCCTAACTCCATGGACTTTGATGTTTCTCTGCTCTGAGGCTAGAGAAGGACCATTGAATAGCAAATCCTGGATAGTACTCTGAACTTCAGCAGAAAGACCATCCTGGCTGCAGTCTTCTGATCTATGTACGGCCACTGTGGAGGCCATGGTTCTAGCTGCTGAGTCCAATCCCGCCTGCAGTGAAGTTCTCATGACCACTATGCCCTCATTGAACTTTTCCATGGAACCCAACCAATTAAAATCATATTGTCTCAACAGAGCCGGTTGGTTGGTGATATGCAACTGCAAACCTCCGTTGAATAAATCTTTCTGCTGAATAAGTCTAGCTCTTAGCATTTTTTGATTTGGGAGTGGAAGGCTGGTATTCCTGTCACTCTCTCTCATTAGCCACTGCAACAGCTAATGAGCCCAGAGGTGGGCGAGTATAAAGGTAAACCCTTGGGAGGGTATATATTACTTTCTTTCTGCCCTTTAATAGGTGGGCGGCAAAAAGGATGGAGTCTGCCATAAAGTCTTTATCGGCTCGATATCTACTCTCTTTAATAACTCCTGATAAACTTCAAATCATCAAGAGAAGGTGAAGTTGTGCTGGATGAAATGGCCTCCTCTGGAGAGGGCAAAGAGGAATCCAAGACTTGAGAGGGTAGAACCTCTTCTACTGGCTGTTTTCCCATTCTAGACCATCCTGTTGATGCTCGGTACTGGGTCCAGTGCTGGACTCTGGGGACGGAGCTGCTTGGTGCATAGACTCAGCCCTTCTAGATGAGGGCACTGAGCCCTGGTCTATGCTACAAACTTATGCCGGTATAACTATGTTGCTCAGGGGTGTGCCGAACTCCCAGTGTAGACAGTGCTATGTCGATGGAAGGCTTTCTCCTGTCGGCGTAGGTAGCGTCTTCACCAAGCACTGTAGTGGCACAGCAACACTGTAAGCGTAGACAAGTCCTGAGTATGTATGGTGAGAATACCTGGAAGCTGGGGGAAATCTGCAAGAGTTCCAAAACGGCCACTGATACAGGGCAGGATCCCATTGTCCTGGCCACATTCCCATGACAGGTCCAATTGAAGGGTTCTGGGGGTAGTTGGAAAGAGAGGATCTGTGCGGAGACTGACGGGTCCTGCTTCAGGGTTGTGATAAGCAAGATCCCACCTCTGAGTCCAGTGAGGATTCCCCTTCTTCTGACGATGGCAGGGCCAATCCAATCAGTGCCAGAGACCAGTGTTGAGAGCCTGGCGATGAAAGCAGTGATGCCATCATAACAGAGTTGCAAGGGTCCACCTGTCCGGGAAGCAGGCAACTGAACTATTGGAGGTTGAATCAGTGGCAGAAGTGGCAGCGGCGCCGAAGGACCAGACACCTGTAAGAAAGGAGACACCAACACCAAGAAGAAGAGCAGGTTTTTGCTGCTGCAAACGTCTCCAGGATACTTGGCACTGAGGTGGTCTCTTGTTGCAGGGCCAAAGAAGATAACAGTGTTCCTTGCAGAACCCAAGCCAACTTTGCTGACTTAGGCACTGACTTGGAGGAGAAGTGTTTAGGTTTCAGGTGCACACTACTCGACTCCGTCTTGATCCTCTTACCAGACTGAGAGGGTGGAGACCATCTCCTGGCTGGTGTCTCTCTGGAAGCTTTGTATTTCTTCCTCGGCATGGGCAAGGAAGAACAGTGCCGGGATTCCGATAAAGTGGAAGGTGCACTTCTCACTGAAGCTGCAGCACTCGGCATAGAGTCAGACTGGAATGGTGAGCACTGCGTACATCAGCAGGAATTTCAGCCTTCTCTCCCTATCCTTCATCCTCGGCTTGAACGCCCTGCAAATCTGGCACTGGTCCTTCACTTGTGCTTCCCTGAAAGCACTTCAGGCAGCTATTTTGTAGGTCACTCACTGGCCTAGGCCTGGAGCAAGAAGCACAAAGCTTGAAACCCAGTGATCAGGGCATACCTTGGTAGCGTGAACAGACAAAACCCAAAATGGGAAAAAGAAACAAGAAGTCCAAAAAAATTCATTTTTATTATATAACACAGCTAAAACTTAACATCTATCCTAACAACACTAAAGACTAGACTTAACTATATACATACATGCTAAGTTCGCAAAGGCCGAGAAAAACAACTGTTCTGGTATAGATCATAATTCCAATGACTGTTGCAGGAGTTAAGAATAAACTGAGGGGGATTAGGAGTGGCTACGCATGCAGCAGCGGGGAACTCAAGCCACCCAACGGGTATCACTGAGGGAAAACGTTTCTGCTGGCCATGTACTGGTGCTCCAACACCAAGAGTTGACTGCACATGTGCAACTACTAAAAGAAGAAGAAATTTTAAATGTAGTTGTCTATTGCATCTCCACATAACATGCATGTCCCAATACTTTAAAATGTGCATACCTTGTGTCTGAGTTCTAGGTCAGTCAGTTACGAGCAAAGCAGCCCCTTTCATTTCTCTCAAGATCAGGTCATACCATATACAATTTAAGAGTTCACACAATAGCTGAGAAATATCTATCAGAGCATGTGTGAATGCCAAAAACATATGTTTTAGAAAGCACTTACTTGTCTACAATGTACTTCACATTGCTGTACATACTGCGATCATCTCGATCTTTATATGGCTCAATATGAAAAGTGACCTGTAAAATGAAAATGCAATAAATGCAATATGGATCATAAAACATTACAGTACATAAAAGCCATTTGGTGTTATTTCTCTAAGTAGTATCAGGCACACCAACAGAGCTCTAGAAAGAGGGATTTTGAAAAGTCTCCACAATGCTATGTGTGTAATTTATTCAATACCACTATTCCTGAAGACTAACTCAATAAGACTCACTATTTTTGGACTGCCAAGATTAACAACACAGATTCGATGAAAAAATAGAAAACTATACACCTACTCTTTATTACTAGTTTTATATAAGATTGCTTTTCTAAGCTACTGTAAGTAATAAGCATGTTGGGAAAAAACTACTAAAATACATAAATATAGAGAGTATTCTAAGCTAGTTAACTAAAAGATCTATTTACAGTTCAAAAGCTGATTACAGCTGATCAAAGTTTTTTATATTCTATTTCTAAATAACAATATATTCCATTTGTTACAGATAATATTTCTCCAAGGAGAGCTTTCAGTGAGAAATTAGATTTTAAAATGTAGAATGTGAGAAGTTTACCTTTAATTTAGAGTTTTACAGGTTCATCAACAGCAATAAATACCTAGGCACTAAATCTAATATACTACCAATGCTATTTCAGGAATGGGGCTTATGAAATTATTTATGCTATAAACTTCAGCTCACTTCAAACTAAACTCCATTGTTTTCAACTACCCAATTAAAAGGAAGAATGCTTTTACATTAATCAATGCTGGCAGTTTTTCAGAAGCAGTTTTTAAGTTAAAATGCATATAATAAAACCAATATTCAGCCAGTCTCAAGTGAAATTTGTCACTATTACAAAGATTTTTTCACAAACTAAAGTGAAACACACTGCTGGACTAAATTATTAGGATTGTTAAGCTTCCCTCAATTGTCCTATTATTTCTTTTTACTTCAGTCCAATAAAGAGGCAAATCATACTTGACAAGGGTACTTCTAGTTACACACTGTTATATGACCTTGTTTTTCTCTCTTTAGATTGAAAATAATTTCTTTTGCATAATGATTCTGAGTTTATTGACAAGTCTATCATCTTTAACTCTAATCATTTTCTCATTCAAATTACAAGGATGCTTGCAAAATAGAATACCGAAGATGAAATTCACTGTGCTAAGAATAGACGTTGAATATAGGTACTGAGAAAAAATTATTCCAATGCTACTGCAAATCTCTTTTCTGCTAACTTCCTGATTTTAATTTTAATCCATTAACACTTTAGGGAAAAATACATTACAATCTTTATATTTCCTAATGCTGAAGAGAACTGTTCAACCAGTATTAACTGAATCAAAAAATAATTTTGAGGTCTTTTTGCACATCATTTGTGAACTACTCCTGATACTTGAGAACATATTTAAGCTTTCCTAAGTCTTCACCAAATATTTTGGGTGAGCAACTTTTAGACTATTGGTTGTCTGTAAGTTGCTCACTTTGAGTATTCACTATTCAAGTGAGTGCTCATATGGTTTTGTTTCTTCTCGCTGATTATAAACAACATACACATGACAAATAGTTAACAGATAAATAATGTACTTAAGGTATGAATCTGAAACATTTTTCTGCATATTCCTGAACAACAAATAGCAGCAACTCAAATTTGGGCTTTTTATTATTAAGTCTTTTCCATTATTTGACTAGTTCTTATACTAATACAGTATCTCCTATCCCTCACTTTATTTCATGGTATGAACTACTGGGGCAGTCTCATAGATAACAGAGAAAAACCTTAGTCAGAGAACTGGAAATGGATAAAGGGGTGTTAACATTCTGGGTTATGAGCATATATGTAATACCAACATTGGGCTATAAGGGGTACTTAAAAGTATAGATATAATACCAGGGTTATGTCTCAGTAAGAGATAGTTGCTCCATATAGCTACATTAATCTATAGTTCAATATGATGTAGTGTGCTAGGACAGAAAAAACCCTCAACCACTTTATGACAATAGCTGGGAGGCTGGGAAGGGGACAGAGCAGCACAAGAGTAAGTTTGGTGCGGTCTCTTATCCCAGCTATGGGTCTTGCTATAGCTTTATGTCCATCATCCTCAGACTGCCACAAAGCCAGAGTGAACCAGAGTGTATCATTACACAGATGTGATACAGTATGAGAGTCCCTATGATATTTCTTTCCACCACAATCTCAATATCTACTGACATGATTTCATGTGAAGACAGGCCATGAAAATACAATTACAACCATAAGGGCCAATGTTTATAACATGATCTGAGCGGTCACCTGCTTGCTCTTCTATATTTTGTCACATCATCAGTGTCTCAGATTCTGTTGTAGGGCAGAAACATTTTGAATTGAGCCATGTTTTGCAGTTTGTATGTATTCCAAATGTCTTTGGAGGCCAAACTAGGACTTTACGTTGTTTTGTCATGATTAAGGCTGCGAGGTGGTCCCTTTCTGTGACTTCTGCAGTGGCCGGTGCATCTGGATCAGGAGCAGCTCAGGCAGCCCTGCAACAGGCGCACCGGCTGCTGCTAGGGCAGTCTCAGGCCCCCGTCTCCAGCAGCAGAGTTTATGTGTGGGAGAGGGCAGGGGGTTGGAGCACTGTACGAGGTGAGGCAGGCTCTGGGCGGTGCTTACCTGGGGGGCTCCCCGGAAGCGGCGACATCCCCCTCGCTCAGCTGCTAGGTGGAGGCGTGGCAAGGCAGCTCTGCACACTGCCTCCGCCCAGAGCGGGAACTGCGGCCAATGGGAGCTGTGGTGATGGTGCCTGCAGGTGACCGCCTCACCCCGTCCAGTGCCCCAACCCCCTCCCACATCCAAACTCTGCTGCTGCCCGGGGGCAGTTGCAGAGCCTGGCAGGGAGCCTACCGGAACCATCAATCGCTCCCCCCCCCCGGCACCAATGGGGGTCCCTGGCCACATGCTGCGACCCAGGCCCCCGCCCCCCCAATATCAGCATTGTCGCCCCCCCCCCCCAAGCAGCTGGGCCACCCACCCCCAGGGAGCCCTCCCCGCCCCCCAAGTTTTATTCACTGGTATTTTTAGTAAAAGTCATGGACAGGTCACAGGCCGTGAATTTTTGTCCGTGACCTGTCCATGACTTTTACTAAAAATATTGGTGACTAAAACGTAGCCTTAGTCATGATGAATCACCACCACACGAATGGGTCATATATTGCCCTCTGACACACTCCGAAGTGGCGTATTTGAGCAGCCAGTTGTCCAAGCACATGTACTCCCAGCCTCTATAAGCAGGCCAACATCAAATATTTATTAAGAACATGTGGAGTCAGCTGGCTCAAAAGACAAGACACAAAACTGGCAGCATACTTCCCAAGTACGAGAAATGCACAAGTAAGTATTTTCAAAGTTCACAGTGCAATAGCACTACCACTCACCGAAGGGGCCAAGAAACCTTTACAGCTAGGAACGTCTGCCTGCCTGCCTTGGACTAGGGAGTCAAGATTTGACAAGTGAGAATCTTGAATAGATGGTATTTTTAGAGAACTTGTATTCTCAGTTCTAGCCTTCCTAATGAAAGATTAAATAATCTATACAATAAAATAGTCAGAATATCCAATGTGGCCAAACTAATGTTCTCTGACTTTTGAACAGTTATTTCTCAACCCTAAAGTTGCATTAAAACTACTCATTTCAGTTAATCCAATCCATCATTTAACTGATACTGGACGCAGAGGGGGTTTTTTGTTGATAATTATTTCTATGAATCATTCAAGGCACACAGTTAAAAGAAGTGGATTAAAAACAGTTTCTGGAAGCGTAACTCATAGGATTTGGTTTTAATTTCACAAGGGAATTGATGGCACATGGCATCTGAAGAAGTGCCAATAGCTTTTTGAGGCGTATAAGTCTGCTTTTCTCAGTATCTTTCAGAGGGTCTCAAACTATTTTATTGACATACTTACATCACAGAGGTGTTCAAAACGTAATGTATTTTACCCTACTTTAAAATGGATAGGAGGACCCAGGGAGAGAAAGACACAAACAGAAAGGCAATGATGAGTTGACCAGCATACTACAGCAAGTCAGAGACAGACCCAGGAATTGAACCCGGGAGTCCTGGCTCCATGTCCCCTTTAACCACTGAACAACACTGACTTTAATAACTTATGAACATTTAATGTGAACTGATATTTGGTAAAAAATTATCTTGACTAGTAATATTTTAGCATGGAAAACACATTTGGCTACAATGCAAGAGTGACACACTTTATTAAAAATGTAGTGTAAGGAGACAAAAGATGTGTTAAACATAATACCATTTAAGTGGTTATTTACTTTAAATGAAATAAAAAGATAAATAACCACACCACCTAAAAAGCCAAGCTTCAGAATAAAACCCAAACATGCAAAATCCAATACCCAACTGAAATAATAATAAAAAAACCCTAGACTGGAAGAACAACATAGCTTTCCTTAAATTAGGCAAGACATGCTTGGGCTCCATGTTTGCCAGCTTCAATGGGTTATTATTCTGCTTTTATCCTACCTTTGGGATTGATAAAATGCACATAACTTGAATCTCCCTTGCAAATAACTAGGACCCTACCAAATTCACGGCCACGAAAAACACGTCACGGACCATGAAATCTGGTCTCCCCCTATTAAATATGATCTTTTGTGTGCTTTTACCCTATAGATTTCATGGGGGAGACCAGCGTTTCTCAAATTGATGGTCCTGACCCAAAAGGGGGGGTTACAAGTTATTTTAAGGGGATCCCAATATTGCTAACCTTACTTCTGCGCTGCCTTCAGAGCTGGGCGGCCGGAGAGTGGTGCCTACTGGCCGGGCCCCCAGCCAGCAGCCGTTCAGAAGTAAGGGTGGCAATACCATACCACACGATCCTTACTTCTGTGCTGCTGCTGGTGGCAGCTCTGCCTTCAGAGCTGGGCTCCCAGCCAACAGCTGCCGCTCTCTGGCCAGCCAGCTCTGAGGCGGTGCCACTGCCAACAGTAGTGCAGAAGTGAGGGTATCAGTATAACCCCCTCTACGATAACCTTGAGACTCCCCCACAACTCCTTTTTGGGTCAGGACCAGTACAATTACAACGCTGTGAAATTTCAGATTTAAATATCTGAAATCATGAAAATTTATGATTTTTAAAATCCTATGACCGTGAAATTGACCAAAACGGACCGTGAATTAGGTAGGGACTTACACATAACAGTCATAGGATCTGCTGATTTTTCTCTTTCAAAGTCAAAATTGCTTTTTGTCCCTTTATCCATAGAATTCAAAAGGTAGATACATAACCAGGACTTGGGAAAAGAAATAGAGAAGTTAAGATTTTAACTCCTGTAATCCTTATTTTGTCCCTTCCTCCAGTCTTTTCTCTGCTTGAAGAAATTCAGTTATTACTTAGAAAGCTAACAGCACAACAAAGGGGTGTATTTCTTTGTGTATGCTTTTCTACAGCACTCTTAGCTGATTTCTGATTGCTTCACAAACAACTATTCTAGCCTCATAACACCCTGTAAGACTAGGAGGTATTATTATTCCCATTTTACAGATGAGGAGAACAAGGCAGAGAGAGAGAAAGAAATTGACCCAACGTCACACAGAAGTTTGTGACAGAGCTGGGAACTGAACCCAGATCTCCTGCACTCCACCAGTATCATTGTAGTACTTGAGCATCTTCCAGAACTGCATTCAGTGTCACAACTGTTATTTGTCACGTGTGATTCTCGCTCTCTAATTTTCCTCTCGGAAGGAAAAAGAATGCGAGTATTTTCGTTTTGTTTTATTAATTTTGGATAAAATTTTTAAAAGTGCCGAGGTCCTATTTTCAAAAGTTACTTAGGCACTTCTGAAAATTGTACCCTTTATGTCCGCTGTGTTATGTGCATTTATTTTTGAAGACAAGGTCAAAGAAGTGCATTTGTACTTGAAATGGAAAGTGGCAAGGTTTGAGGAGGTTCTTAGTTTTTGTGCCTTAACCACAAAGCATTCTTCTCTTTAGGTGTTGACAAATAAACCCAGACAAAGCATGGTATTTGCACTGCCCACACTGAGTCTCTTCTATCATCTAGAGCATTGCCCTAGTCTTTTCCCCTGGAATACATACTATCTCCAGAGATTTTGTGAACACCACAAAAAACCTGGGAAGAAAGTGTAATAGTCACTTATAGAATCCCAGGATTTATTGGAACACTGCAGGTAACACCACCAGCAACACAGGCAGGACTTAACGTGCTACTCAAACCCCCAACATAACACACAAGACAATGACTTAACACTAAGATAAAGATACATCAGCATCTATTGGTGGAGATACTGTTTATACTGATCATTCAGAAGTCAATTTGTTTCCATTACTTTAACACAGGGGTGGGCAAACTACAGCCCAAGGGCTGGATCTGGCCTGCCAGCCATTTTAATTCGGCCCTCGAGCTCCAGCTGGGGAGCGGGGTCTGGGTTTCGCCCTGTTCCGGTGTTCCATCTGGGAAGCAGGGTCGGGGGGCACTCCGCACAGCTCCCAGAAGCAGCGGCATGTCCCACCTCCAGCTCATACACATAGGGGCAGCCAGGGGGCTCCGCATGCTGCCCCTGCCCCAAGTGCCGCCCCCGCAGCTCCCATTGGCCGGGAACCGTGGCCAACGGGAGCTACAGGGTCGGCACTTGCGGATGGGGCAGCACGCAGTAGAGCCGCCTGGCCGTGCCCCCGTGTAGGAGGGGACATGCCGCTGCTTCCGGGAGCTACTTGAGGCAAGCGCCACCCAGAGCCTGCACCCCTGAGGCACCCCCCCCCATACCCCAGCCCTGATCCCCTTCCCGCCCTCTGAACCTATCAGTCCCAGCCTGGAGCACCCTCCTACAGCCCAAACCCCTCATCCCCAGTCCAACCTCAAAGTCTGCACCCCCAGCCTGAGCCCTCAATCCCCACCCTGCACTGCCCTAGCCCAGAGCCCCCTCCTGCACCCTGAACGCCTCATTTTTGGCCCCCACCCCAGAGCCCACACGCCCAGCCAGAGCCCTCACCCCCTCCCATACCCCAACCCCAATTTCGTGAGCATTCATGGCCTGCCATACAATTTCCATACCCGGATGTGGCCCTCAGGCCAAAAAGTTTGCCCACCCCTGCTTTAACACATACTGCTTCCACTAGCCTACAGGCTATTTGTGGAAATGGATCCACATTTAACTCATGAATGTCCAAGCACATTCTGTTCATACAGGGTTTGTTTTCTTAAAAAGGATAATATTAAAGTGTTATTAAAAAGTTGTTGCAGTCATAGTACTAAGTTATTAAAATACTTCTTGTAGAAATTAGTGTTTTCTAGCATTTTTTCTTTTTAAAAAGCCAATTTTTATTTAAACTAGAGGTTCTGGGTTACTATTGTAGAAAATGAACCAATGCTGCTTCCATCAATTTAAAAAAAAAAAAAAAAAAAAGTGACCAATTTATTTGACTATAGAAAGAACTTTAAAGTAAAAGTTTTTTTTTTAAACTACAATTAATGAAGTCTGATGGTTTATTCTATCTTAAATTATATTACTCATCACTATAGTATTACAATTAAATAAGTCATTTAAGGAGTTCCTATGAATTGAACTCTATTACAGACCTCTTAAAATAGGTGGTACATATTCACAAAAGAGAATTTAAAATTCTTAGAACATTTATACAATGACTTCAAAAGGTAAGTGAATAGAAAACCCACAAGAAGGAATGAACACAGATAAAGCAGCTTAAAAATCAAGATAAACGGTCTAGTTTCATGAAAGCTAAACAACTAAAAATTCACTTTGAAATTCTCTACATGCCACGCTCCATGAAAAATAATGCTTTAAGTCTGTTTAAATCCAAAATATATACAACTGTTAAAAGAGAACTAATTATATAGTTTATGAACATATATCTGTACATTTGATCTAGAGATGTACTGAATATGAACACTTTAAAATTACTATACCTTTAGATTATATTTATGTGCATTATCCAAAATAACAGGCACCAAATCTTCACCAGGTTCCCCATTTTCATCAGCCATACCAGGAGGGTACCAAGAAAGGGCTATGACACCTAAGATATAAAATATGAGCTTGAGTTATGCCACCAAAAACAACATTATGCCTACTAAAAGTTTAAAGAAACAGAAGTGTGTACACGAAAGGTATAAATATCATGTTAATGTATAACATAGTTTATACAGCTAACTGAATAATTGTCATTTCTGAGTAAGACTGGCATTTGATAAAAATATATATGAAAATACTTCTTACAGCCAGGAACAATACATAATTATGGTTTGAATTTTTTTTTTTTAATGAAACAAGTGAAGGGCAAGGCTTTCAAATGCAGCTACACACCTAATTTGACTATGCAATTACTGCAGATGAACACACAAACGTTATAATTGTATGCAGATTGTCAAATAAGCAAGGTACAGAAATTGCCATGGTGGAATTTTAAGTGCCTTGTACAATTCCCCCCCATTCCTCTGAGTGATGTTAAATGCAACAGTATATTTACTAACTAAAAGACTTAGTTATTACATAAAGGTTACACTACCCATGATCTCTGCACAATATTCTTATTGATGGACTGTCACAGGTTGCCTTTAGATCAAGGAAAAGGATGGCACATGGGTCTTACTTTGTAGACACAGCCAGTGGACCATAAATCATATGGTCCATAGACAACAAAGATCTGAAAATAACATTACATACTTACAAAAAAACAGCCATAAATTGATTTGGCACAAGAGTCTTTTCAATAAGATTTATTCCTGTACTTAATGTTTTAAAAACATTTTGAATAGCATTGTGTATTTTATGGAAATGCAATTAAAATTTTAATTCCACTGGAAACGCTAACACTGACATATAATCACTGGATCATTTCATTCTGTTCCCATTAAAGACAATAGCAAAGTTTCCGGAATTTAATGGGATTAGATCAGGCCCACCACTATATCATGAGAAATAAGTTATGCCACTATTATAAGACTCAGTTAATGCATGGGTTATGCATAGTTCTGTATAAATCACTGACTACTGGTATCCAGGCTAAAGTTTAAATGAAAATCTATGATGAGTAAATCAAGAAATTATAAAATAATAACCTAGAAAATTCCCACAAGAATCTAGCAGAGGAATGTTTTCTGGTCCATCTGAAGAGCCTTTTTCTTTTCAATAACAAAAACAACTTTTAGACTTTAGACAGATTCCTTAAGAAATAAGTCAAATTGAAGCAGACAGTATAATAAGATTGCCAGTAGTCCAGGATTTCCCCAGGAGGAAAATACATAGCATATGCATATTCTACAAGTCCACAAACAGGATTGCCAGTACCACTATCTTGAAACAATTCAATTTCAGACCCCAATGCAACAGCAATCTCCTTTTCCCGTCTTGTCCATCCAACTGTACTAAACACTTAAAAGACTACACTTTCAGATTTTTCTAGCTCTTGCTTCCTCAATAAAAAAAAACAAACAAAAATGACACAGAATAGAATTAAAAAAAAAAAAAAAAGGAAAAAAGGTTAATGAAATTATTCCCGAGTTATAAGTCTCAGGAAAAATGCCCTATATTTTTAGTTGACAGAGAAATATGGCACTAGTTGCTGCTGAATATGAAAATAAGTCAAAGGAAGGAAATATACCTTCCCCAAATAACTTATTTGTACATTCGAGAAAAATACCACGTTACTTTAAAAAAGTACATCTGATATGCATATTGTAAAAAGTGTCAGAGAAGCTGAGACAGAATACATTAGCAAACAATGACTTGCACTGGAACAGAACTTTGAAATAATATGTATTTCTGAAATGCAGTAGGACAACAACTGCTGGGATTTATAGCCAGGTATTAAAGTAATTATACATGAATGACATTAGTTCACAGAAGTGGGAGAGTGGGTACTATATCTAAAAGATTCCATACACTCTAATGAGATAAAATTTTGAGTGAAGAGGACTTTACAGAAGAATGTGTATGGAAACTAACCCCCAAATATAAAAATACAAGTACAAGTAGGAACATACTACCAACCTCCAAGCTCAGAAAATGATATTTGAGAGCATGACATTTAGGAGATTGAACCAGCAACAAAATCTAATAGAATAGGAAAAATACAATGTGCAACTACCTGCACATAAACTGGTCAGATATCAAGTTGGGACATGGTTGAGAAAATCGTGGAGGATAATGAGTATACAGTAATTCCGTCATAAGACATTTGCATGGTGCTAAATAAAAAAAGGAAGAAATGGAAAACAAAATAAATCCAGTATGGTTCAATGGCCATGTTATAGAAAAAAGAGAAATCCAGCTCAAGTGAAACCAATAGAAAAGGATAAATATGAGAAGAAAAATTTAAGATGGAAAGTAAAAGGGCATGAGGAGAGCACATAGATAAGCATATAAGAATAATAAAATTCTCAAAATACACCTGGAACAGGAAGCCTGCAAAGAATCAATGGGTGCACTGGATGTTAAGGCACATAGGGAACAACTGAGGAAAAAGGCAGCTTCTCTGCACTGCTCTGATTTATATTTTTGTATCAGTCTTCACCCCAGATGTTGTTAAGAAGATACTTACTACAGATCTTCTCTTCACAGGTAAAAAAGAGAAGTACTCTTGGAGACTGAAGTGGCAAAGGGAGGAACAAACTAAAAAAGTAAATAGCAGCAAGCCACTAGAACCTGGTACTTATTCCAGAGATCTGAAAGAATTTAAGGTTCAAGTGATTGAATATTTTTGTTAGCAGCGCAATCTCACTAAAATCAGACACTGATGGAGGATAGCAAAAGTTGGACCTATTAGGCATACCCATGTATTATAAACTAGTGAGATACACTTCAGAACCAGATAAATTAATTGAAATAAAAAGTTATAAAATATCTAGCAGAACCACGTGATAAGGACGAACCTTGTAAAGGAAAATTCTGCCTCTCCAATCTTCTAGAATTCCTTGACCACACCACCACAATAGTGGATAATAGAACTGGTTAAAGCCAATTTATTTAACTAAGTCTGTTTGAAAGCGTAAAGGCCCACATAAAAGGCTAGTAAGAAAACTAAGGCCAGATGTAAAGTACTGTGATGGATTAGAAACTGTCTAAGAGACAAATAATGGGAATAATGGTCAGTTCTGCAGCACAGGAAAAGGTGAACAGTATCCCAAACATCCATACTAGGACTGATGTTTATTGTAGCAATTAATGATCCACAAAAGCAAGTGAACTCTGAAATAAAATGAAATTATTTGAGATAGTCAAGACTAGACAGAACCAAGATAAAATTCAGCGGAACCTTATACAGGTGTATCAGCAATGTACACTGAAAGAAATAATTTAAACTATTCACACACACTGCTGAGTCCTAAATCAACTGTTATTACTCGGCAAAAAGAAGAATGCACCAAGTCTTGTCTACACCAGGAATTTCTTCCTAATGTTCTCCACCAATTCAGCTTTACTGGAGGTAAAGATTATGGCCTGAAGCTTAAAGGATTATACGTTATAAAACTGTAAACAAGGTGATAATTGTTGCCAGTGTTTTAATCACTTTGCCAGTGAGAGAAAACACCACTGTGCTTACAATGTCAGCAGCAACCTGCCCACACTAGTGCTCCCACTGTTGCTAACACCAATGGAACTGTCCCAGTGTTAGTAACAACAGGAAATTTAAGTTTCTAAAAAAACAAAAACATCACTGGTATGAACATATCAATCTTTGTTCAACATGTAGCTGTGGTCAAAAAAGCTAACAATGTTAGGAAGTATGAAGATTGGGATAGAAAATATTAATGAAAACATTATAATGGCATTATACCAATTGACAGTAAGTCTTCACCTTGAATACTGTGGTCAGGTCTGGTCAAATAATATATCTGTAGAAAGAGAAGGGGGTCCAGATGCATATGATAAAATAATTAGAAGCATAAAAAGAAATCCAAAAGAGGAAAAACAGAAAAGATTATGACTGCCTAGTTTACAGAAGAAATAAATAAGAAGGGCTATAATAGAAGTATATCAAATGAAGAATGGCATAGAAAAGTTAAGCTGAGTGCTCCTATTTATGTTCTCCCTCTCATTTAATATAAAAACTGGGGACAAACAATGAAACTCATTAATAAATTTTAAATTTAAGAGATAAAAGGAAATACTGGTCTATAAGTTTAAAATAAATAAATAAATAATTAGCCTACAGTACAACCCATTCTACCAGGCATTAATGTTGTCAAGAGCTTAACAAGTTTCAAAGAAGCATTGGACATGTATATGGATAGTAAGAATTTCCTTAATTACAAAGTACAGGAGGAAAATTGTACAAGGGATATAATCCCTCACAAATCAGGGCATAAAACAATTATTAGGTGATAGTGGTTGGCTAGAATGTTCCTCTGTGGACAGGTTATTCCATAATTGTCTATTATGGGATTTCTTGAACCAGCCTCTGAAACTGTGACTCAAACACTTTGATGCCAACTGGCAATGCGATTACAATACACTGATCCTGGTACATACATTCTGGTTCACCAAAGAACATCGTGTGAAATCATAAATGAAAGCCAGGATCAATCATGTTGGTCAATAATATTGTTGTGAAACTTCTAGACAGATACTATATAAAGAGTGTAAGTATATATGTTTTAAAATCTGTGTCGAGGCAGGAGTTGATAAATGGAGTTTTCTGTCAAAGGATGCCTATTCACCGGTCTCTCTAGCATGTAAATTAAGCACTGTAAGTTAACAAATTCAAGAAATTCAATGGAGAGTCATTTACAAAGACAATGGGGGATCTAAAAATCAACAGGGAGGCAGTACACTGTCTGTCCGGGGACAGACAATGAACTTTGGGGAATAGAAGGAAAAGGCAAAAAGACACAGCTTTACCTTGCACGTAAGATATAAGCAGACGATATAGTTACATTTATGAAACCAGGATCTCTTCCTACCTTGGTGGAAGACTCTGCAAGAGACTTTGGGTGTGAGAAACTTATTTAGACTGGAAGTTAGTATGTTAAATTTAGTCTCTAGAAAGTGGGTTGTAATTGTTTTATGTGTGACCTTATGTTTCCATTATCTTTAGTCATTATCGCTTGAACAACTTATGTTGTTTTCATTATAAATGTAACTCAGTGCTGTGATATTAACCAAGGTACTGATCCTGAGTATGATCACACAAGCTGGTGTGTACACTATTCCCTTGTAGGCAGCAAACCTAGGATTTCTGTAAGTATTCAGTGGATAAGGGGCTGCTTCAAAGGGGTGGACTGGGGTGCACCTATTTTTAAACTAGGAAAAGTAAGGTCGAGTCTGGAGAGACTGTTTGGGTGGCTAACAGGCTGGAGATGTGAGGGAGCTGACACTCAGGTAAACACAAGCAAGTCTGCCTGAGAACCATTACAGAAACATCTAGCACTGATCTTCTCTACTTGATAGACTTCATATCCACTACAAAAATGCCTATATCTGTATTTTTCTATTTTATACACTACACAGAGTACCGTTAAACAAGTAAACAAATAATATAAAATTCCTTCATCTAAACAGCTATAGATATAGCCCCCAATCCTGCATCTGCTCTGAACAAGTCTATCTGTATGAAGCAGCTTGGAAGACCAGAGACTAAGTTAGGGATTGAACATAAAGTACAAAGTCACTTGTTAAAAACATATGTTCCCATGAAGTTATCATTGACACAAATCTCCCGTGCACACAAAAAAAAAAAAATCCAAAAAACCCCTAATTTAAAAAAAATAAAGTACAAAAAAAATAAAAATAAAAAAAAACACCCAAGAAAAAAAAAAAAAAAAAAACCCAAAGTCCCCTTACATTTCAATATCTAGAGAAAACAAAGGAGGTGAACAGTTCTGTTTACTCAAGTATCTGAGGTCAAACAAATGACTACTATGCCAAAAATAAACAAACATTTATTACCAACAGAGGCTGAACGCATTTGTTGCATGTGGTCTTCTATGACAGAAGGGTCTTTAGAGCTGTAAGTTCCAAGTTCAGGGTAAAAACTGGACGCAATATCATCTGGAGGATTGTGTCTTCCCTTTGGGTAATTGTTTGCAATTTTGGAATCCCAATGTGGCACCAGTGGATGGTTCCAGTGAATATATTTACCATCATATTGTGGATTCCCAAACCAGCTGTAGTAGAACACATGAAAGTTATAATTAGGGGAAGGCAATTCCTCTTCCAACTTTCTTACAGAGGCCATAGATGTTTTAATGCTATTCAATGCAATAGTGTGCAAATTATTGGTGTGTGTTACACTATCCCCCTTGGCAGCAGTTAGGGGACTGTGTTTATTTTCTAAGAGTGTTGTCCGTTGTTGAAGTTCCGGTAAGAGACCAAGTCCAAATGGATCCCCAAAACCAGCTCTGTCAGGTCTCAGAGTCTTCAAAGCCATCATCATGGAGCAAATGAATAAAATAAAAAGCAACAAAATAATGCACGTTCTTCTGTGAAATCTTGCCATGATGTCATAGTTCAGCGTCCAAACAACAGGTTTCCAGCTACAATTGGTCAAGAAAAAAATATTTTTAAATCAGATTTCTTGTCACCTATCAATTCAACAATATTAAACTCTTCATAAAATTTCTAAATAAAAGATTTAGGAATAAACATAACTAATTTCTAAAAATACACTGTTTGCATACTCTTGTACATATCGCCTTTACTGGGAAAAAGACGATAAAATCAACACATTGCATGCTCTTTGAGAATGTGACATCTTTTAGTGAACCATGAGGTAAAGCTTTACACCATCCAAGGATTACAGATTTTAAGGAACATCCTACTTTTCAACTGGCTTCCTGGTTTTCTCAAACTGCCACTAAACCCTATGAAATGGGAATTCTGGTTACACTATTTCCAAGCCACTGCTTTGTGCTTACCCTGTGTCGCTGACAGAAACACCATAATATAGCTGTGATTTTTTATTTTGTGCACTTGATACTCCTGGGGGAATTCTATGTCACTGTGCATGCACAGAATTCATGTCTCCTGTAGATTTTTCCCCCTTTGCAAAATACTACATTCTGCTGAAGAGGCACTGCAATTACACTCACCAGTGGCTGCTATAGCACCAAAAGAGAGAGCGGCCAGCTCAGGGCCAGAGCAGTCAGTCCCGGAAAGGATGCTTTCCTCACAGCCCCCTGCCTGTGGGGACAGGTGAAGAGGCACGGGATATTGAGGTGTGACGGACCGCAGGGCACCCAGAGCTGCTGGGGGTCACACTGACTGGGGTACAGAAGGGTTGGGGGAGACAGACTGGGGCAGGGGCACAGGAACTACTGGGGTGACAGCATTGGGCCAGGAGTTTAATGGGAGTGGGGGGTGGAGGGCCACATGCAATCAAGGGGGTAGCTGAGTGGCAGTGAAGGGACACATAGGGATGTGGGGAGAAGGGTTCAGCGACACATGGGGACAGGAGTAAGGAGGTGACTGAGTGGAGGGTGCAGGTACACACGGGGACAGGGGCAGATGTGCCTGACTGAATGGGAGAGGCTAGAGGTCCGCCAGGGTCTGCCTGGGGGAGGCACCCCAACTCCCTAACAATCCTCCCTCCTCCCAAAAAATGTTCCATACTTCTCCCACTCACATCCAACAATCCTCCAGGTTCGCTTCCAGGCTCCTTTCCAGAAATTACTTCCCTCTCGCTCAGCTCCTCCATTACCCCTGACTCCCCCAAGCAAAGACCTTTGCACTTCTTCTGAGGGGTGCAGAGAAGGGGTGTGGAAAATAAGTTTCTGTATTGTAGTTTAAATGAATTATTATGCAAAGTTCTGTATTAATAAGCCTGGTAAGGAATCTATTTGTCAAAAAACATTTCCTGAATCTTTTTTGCCATCTGTATTGTAACAGAGATACTTGTTGACAGATATTTTGAAATAAACCAAAATAACTGAAACCGGTATGATTATAATACATTATTTCGACAGATAAAATATGCAGAATTTTAAAACACAGTGCACGGAATTTAGGTTTTTGGCGCAGAATTCCCACAGGGGTAAACATACACATTTCAGACCCTGGATTGTAAACTTGGGACACTGACCCTCTTATTGTATGGATTTGTACAATGCTTTGCTCAATGGCCCCGGGATCCTAACTGGAACTTGGAGACATCATAAACTTGGCAACTGACCATTAACTGTTATATAGACAACTCCATCACAGGACTTTATCAGTGAAAACGGCTGTTCAACTTGTAAATGGACCCTTCTGCACTGTTTCAAGAGGATACTTTATCACTGGTAAACCCATGGGATTTAAACTGCTTCTGCAATTTATTTAAGTTGTTGTAATGATATTTACTTTGTGTATTGACACATGATGTTGACAATTTGTATTTTAATGGTCATAAAGCTTTAATTTTTTAAATTTCAACTTCCTCTATTAAATAATTGTCAGGCCCTCCCTACTTTCTGACCTGCCCATAATTTCTCAACTGTGAAATTTTAAATCTCTAAAAATTGACAAAAAAAAAATGCTAAAACCCATCCCAACATGCACAATTGTGAAGAATTTAAAATAAAAAATACTTAAAAAGGAAGCAGTCAATATTATCTGTTGAAATTATAAAATAAAAATTGAATTCTACCAAGCCTAATTATAATGCATTTTGCCTTGGAATGTAGCTGCACACATTAACTTATTTTTTACCTGTTGTCAGTAATGTAGGTGACTGAGTTTCACTTGAAACAAAATTGGTGGCTCAACTCCTGAAGTCTCAAACATTTGTGAGAGTTGTTCCAGTTTCTTCCTCCTGGTTTGGGGAGTAGGGTTTAGCTATGGGACTCAAAATATTTGAAATCTACCAATTTAGCTACTCCTACTATAGACAAAGATACTGAAACATCTCTCGTTCCATAAGGATTCTGTAAAATCTGATATTTTCCATGTGCATGATTGTGTAATCCATATTTCACTAGTCTTTATTTCTCCAAAACCCTTACATACCTACTTTACTCACAGCTTTCTAAACTCCTATATATGAAAAAGCTACTTTTTACCAAATCTTTAGAGACTGCAGACATAAAAGCCACTTTTTCCTTTACCACCATTTGTGTCCTGCAATAATAATTTCCATATGGCTTTCGTATTACTAATTCTTGCCTCTCATCCTGAGAGGAAATCCATGGGTCTTGTTCCTGCAAGGTTAATGTAATTTTGCCACTTTTTAATAACTCTCAAGCATAATCTTTTTTGTCTCATAAATATGTGGATTAAAAAATGCATTAAAAATAAGGTCTGAAAGTTCTGATTTTTTTCAGCTTGTTTTTCATATTCATTTAGATATTGCCTAACTTGTTCCTCCTGGAAGAGTCTATGACTGTGAAACTTGTAGTATCATGAGATCAATTTTCATTTGCATGGTATCTGTGATTACTTGAACTTCAGCACCTCAGCTGAAACCAGTCATTGGCAATTTTATCTTTGTGCTCCTCTGAGTAGGTTTTGATGACACAAACAGTAAAAACAACAGTGGTTTGTTTGTGTAGGAGAGAGAGCCATATTTTCATTTCTCTGTCTAAAACAATTAAAACAAGTCATAACATAATTATAACACGGTTCTTTCTGTTTCATCCAGTTCCCCTCTCCTCCCTCCTTCCCTGCCAAAAGGCCATACCATATTGGGTTCAAACATATTTAAACAAAGTTATTTTTATACTGTAGACAGAATGCGAACCTTATTTTTGATTAACCTGAATTCTTAGAGCAAATAGTGGCAGAAATGCCAAGGATCCATCAATGTTAAATATTTTATTGTAATTAGACATGGTAGTGTCCCAGTCCTGCAAAGGCTTCAATAAATTCATTGATTATAAGGCAGAAGGGACCACCATGATCACCTAGTCTGCCCCCCTTAGCTAATTCAGCAAATGCTAGGCCCATGTTAAATCCTCTTTGAACTAGAACGTCCAAAATCCGACTTTTATTTAAAAATTGCCAGTGATGGAGAATCTACGACATTACCCCACTTAAAACTGTTACAACTAAGAGGGTTTCTTTAAAACCTTTTGGCTGCTTTGGCAAACTCAAACTAAGAGGGTTTAAAGAGAGAAACTGCCGGCTGGTTCTGCCAGTTTATGTACATTTGGGACTAACCGGACCTTAGCTTAAGAGCCATTTTCAGTTTCCTCCGCACAGTCTGCCAGCTTCCCCCTTGATTCGCGTGGCTCTCGACCACCAACGTGAGTGATACAAACATTTAAATTAAATAACAAAACAAAACCCAGCAACGTGGGGCTGTAAGCCCAGCAGGGAGCGTCAGGCGGACTCAGGGCCACGGAGGATACCTGACGCTTGTGGGCCTGAGCCCCTGTGGCGACGGGCGCTACAGACCACAGACAGGCCCCGGGTCCCAGCACAGGCACGGGTCCGGCCCAAAAATGTTGGCCGGGGCAGGGGGGGTAGGTGTCACTCCGCTCTGCACCATCCTCGCTCGCAGGCCAGCCACGGCCCGCAAAAGGAGCGCGCAGGGGCTGGGTCGGAGCAGCAGCCCCCCGGCACCATCCCCCCCGCTCCTCACCAGCGTCACTGCTGCCTGCGGCCCCCCCCCCGGCCGGGCCGAGCCGAGCCTGGGGCCCCCCGTCCGGAGCGGCGCTGCGAGCAGGGGCCCCGGGTGTGAAGGGGGGAGGCGGGTGCTTTGGAGGCTGCCCCGCTTACTCACCCGTCGAAGGCGGGGGCGCGGCCCTACAGCTTGGGGAAGGCGAAGCAGCAGCGCTCCGCCTAGCGGCTACTCGCGGGCGCGAGGCAGTTGGTGTCCACACCGGGGCCTGCTGGGGCAGTTGAGGATGCGGGGTGATCATGGGCTGAGTCAAGTCAGTTCGGGTTTTGGTCCCTAAGCTGTTACTGAGCCTGCTCAGACTTCTCAGCATGCGCAGTAGCTACCGCTGAAGCCTCTGCCCTGAAATGAGCGCGTTCCCCGAAGAGACGAGGGAGTCCGGTAGCGTCATAGTTGGCTGCTGAGCATGCGCGGTAATACCTGCTGAATCCTCCTCTGCCCTCACTGTGCCCGCACTTGGGATTCCGAACGTGCTCCCTGCTGCGAGGGGTGCAGGGAGGGGAAACTGCCAAAGTTGTGCAGTGGGCGGTGAATTGCATTCACGGGCTGTTCAAACACGTGCGGCCGGGGAAGGGAGAGATTCATGCGGTTGGACAAAATCAGGGACAGGGTTGCAGCCTGGGTGAAGGATGAGGTAAAGAGGCAGTGGCAAGCAGGCAGGGGCAGAGGGGATAAGAGTTACCCCAAATAGGGTGAGCGGGGCTTCTTCCCTACCAGGAGGACGGTAGGTCTGAGCAGAGGCTTTTCAGGGCTGGGTTTGGACAGGCACCATATAGCCTAATGCCTAAACAAGGCAGATCTGAAATGATGTATTAAGCTAGTAAAGGAGACTTGATTCATGAAATATTTTATAAACCTCTACAATCCTCAAAAATTCTTAATTTTAAACGATTTGTTTCTGTTTAAAATCATTCCTTATGTTTATAATACTGGATGTTTTTTCAAAATATATGGTCTAGACCAGGGGTCGGCTCGCGGCTCGCCAGGGTAAGCACCCTGGTGGGCCGGGCCAGTTTTATTTACCTGCTGACGCGGCAGGTTATTTACCTGCTGACTCGGC